TTCATATGATCAACTCATCATCAATATTACAAATAATAATATTGATGGGAATATTCACTTTGAGGATGTCGCCGAAGCTATTCTTGAAGAAGAATCTAGGCGGATGAGTAAGGGCAAAAGTTCCAAACAAGTAGAGACTTTGACAATGATGAGAGGAAGATCAATGGAATGTGGCTCAAGTAATGATAGATCGAGGTCTCGAAGTAAGAAGAGTTCTAAAATCAAATGTTACTCTTGTGGCAAGAAAGGACATACGAGAAAAGAGTGTTGGAAGAGGAAGAATGGAGGAAATAACTCTAAAGAATCAACCTCACAAGGTTGTGTTGTAAGTACCTCAGAAGATGGAGATATTTTGGTTAGCGAAACAGTAATTAGCTCTAATGGTGAAAATGAGTTTCATGACAAGTGGATAGTGGATTTATGTGCAGCATGACACACGACTCTGCACCGAGATTGGTTTTACACTTATGAACTACTCTCAGGTGGATTCGTCTTCATGGGAAACAACCATGTATTACATATTACTAGAGTTGGTACCGTCAAAATTAAAATGTATGATGGTATTGTTCACACAATTCAAGGGGTACGACATGTGAAGGATTTGAAGAAGAATCTATTGTCCATTGGGCAATTAGATGACCTCGGGTGTAAGATCCATGTTGAAGGTGAAATCTTAAAGGTGGTGAAGGGGAGTTTGGTGGTCATGAAGGCAAAGAAGATCATGACAAATTTGTATGTGCTGCTTGGAGATACGTTGCAAGAAGCGGATGCATCAGTTGCGACAACAAGTCAGGAAGATTCAGTGATCATGTGGCATCATAGACTTGGTCATATGTCAGAAAGTGGTCTGAAAATCCTTATAGAATGTAATCTCTTACCCGGGCTTAAAGAGGTTAATTTACCCTTCTGTGAGCACTGTGTGATAAGTAAGCAACATAGATTGAAGTTTGCTAGAGTGTCTGCTAAAAGTAAACACATATTGGACTTGATTCATTCTTATGTGTGGGAATCACTGATACTATCCCTCGGAGGAGCAAAATATTTTGTATTGTTCATCGATGATTACTCCAGGAGATTGTGGGTGTACCCTATCAAGAAGAAGTAAGATGTGTTTTCACAATTCAAGGAATTTAAAGCACAAGTAGAACTTGAAATTGGGAAAATAATTAAGTGCTTAAGAACAAATCACAAAGGAGAATATGTAGATGGAGAATTTTTAGCATTTTGCAAGTAAGAAGGTATCACAAACAATTTTATATCCCACATACGCCTCAACAAAATGATATAGCAGAACGGATGAATAGAACTCTCCTGGAAAGAAGTAGAGCTATGTTGCGAACAATTGGAGTAGTCAAGTCTTTTTGGGCAGAAACGGTTAAAATTGTCTATTATGTTATAAATTGGTCACCGTCAACCACCATTGGTTTGAGCACACAAATGGAGTTATGAAAAGGTAAACTAGTTGATTATTTATCCTTACGTGTTTTTGGTTGTCCTGTGTACGTGATGTACAACACTCAAGAAAGAACAAAATTGGATCCAAAATCCAAGAAATGTATCTTCTTGGGCTATGCTGACAATGTGAAGAGGTATCACCTGTGGGACCCCACTTCCCACAAGGTTGTTGTTAGCAGAGATGTAGTCTTTATAGAAAATGAACTAAAAAGTTAGCAGACAAATAAAAACTTGATAAAGGACAAGGTTATAGTACAGATAGAGAAGAAGTCTTCGGATGACTCGTCTGAGTCAGAGGAGGAGCACAACAATCAAGAGCCAAATGAGGTTGGTAATGGAGATCTTCGGCGATCAACATGAGAAAAAAATCATACCATCTTAACATTCACAATATGTGATGGCAAGTCATGATGCGTATTGTCTTCTAAATGAAGAAGGAGAACCTTCAAGTTTTCAAGTGGTTATGAGTTGTTCAGATGTTTCTCTGTGGATGACTGCAATGTAGGAAGAAATTGAGGCTCTTCATAAAAACAAGACATGGAATCTTGTGGAACTTTCGAAAGGTCGAAAAGTCATTGGTTGCAAATGGGTCTATAAGATCAAAAGAGATGACAATGATCAAGTGGTAAATGGATATGCTCAGAAAAAATGTACTGATTTCAATGAGATATTCTCTCCAATTGTCAGATTGACATCCATCAAAGCTATCCTGGCTATGTGTACTGCATTTGATTTACATCCTGAACAATTGGATGTAAAGACTGCTTTTCTTTATGGAGATCTTGAAGAGAAAATTTATATGCTTTAACCAAAAGGCTGTAAAGAACAAGAAAACTTGGTTTGTAGGTTGACCAAATATTTATACGGTCTAAAGCAGACACCCAGATGTTGGTATAAGAGATTTGATTCCTTCATTAATTTCCTTGGTTACAATAAACTAAGCTCAGACCATTGTACATATTACAATAGGTTTGGTGATAATAATTTTGTTATCTTGTTATTGTATGTGGATGACATGTTGGTAGTAGGTCCCAACATAGATCGAATCCAAGAGTTAAATGCACAATTGGCTAGGGAGTTTGACATGAAGGACTTGGGACCAGCAAACAAGATTTTAGGGATACAAATTCACAGAGACAAAAAAGATAGGAAGGTTTGGCTTTATTAGAAGAATTACTTACTGAAAATATTGCGGCACTTCAACATGCAAGATTGCAAGCTAATTTCCACCCCACTTCCTATCAATTATAAGTTATCTTCAAGTATGAGTTTCTACAATGAAACGGAGAGGATGAAAATGTCTTGAGTACCGTATGCATCAGTAGTGAGAAGTCTTATGTATGTCATGATTTGTACAAGACTAGACATTGCATAAGCAGTGGGAGTAGTTAGTAGATTCATGGGAAATCCTGGTGGAGATCATTGGAGTGGTATAAAGAGGATCCTTAGATACATCAAAGGAACCTCAGGTGTTGCATTTTGTTATGGAGGATCAGATCTAGTTTTCAGAGGCTATGTTCATTTAGATTTTGCAGGTGATCTGGATAAAATGAGATCTACTACTGGTTATGTGTTTACAGTTGCAGGAGGGGTAGTAAGTTGGTTATCCAAGTTACAGGATGTTGTAGCTCTGTCTACCACAGAAGTTGAGTACATGGCAGCCACCCAGGCATGTAAGGAAGTTATTTGGATTTGGAAGATAATGGAGGAACTCGGGAATAATCAACAACAAATTGTTGTGTATTGTGACAATTAGAATATCTTGCACATTGCAAGGAATCCGGCCTTTCATTTTAAGACAAAACACATAGGAATAAGATATCATTTTGTTCAAGAAGTAGTGGAAGAAGGTAGTATGGATATGCAACAGATTCACACGGATGAGAATGTAGCAGATGATATGACAAAACCAGTTAGTGTTGACAAGTTTGTTTGGAGTCAATCCTACTATAACCTAGTGGAAAAATAAGCAACATGGATGACAAGAATAAAGCAAGCATGGTGTGAAGATTTGATTAATTTAATTAAAATCTTCAAGTGGGAGATTGTGAGAAGAAAAGTCTCACATCAAGTAAATCTTAGTTTGGTGCTTTTTTTTTTTACTATAAAAGGAACACAACGTTTACCTTGTAAAACACACCAAAATCACTTTCTTTTCTTTATCTTGCTGCTTTAGTACTTGAGAGATAAATTAAGAGAGAAAAATCGTTTCTCCTTTTAGGTTCTCTTAGAGTTGTTTTTCCTTTATTTTCAGGAGAGGGTGTTATTGTTTTCTCCTTGGAGGTAGAGAGAAGGGTTGTAATTTCTTTCATTAGTGAAATTACTCTTTTGTCTATTGTCAGTATTTTTCTCATCTTTTTATTTTAGTTGTGTGTGCTTATGCTTTTGTTTGATACCTAACAGTGCTTGCACAGTGGTCGTACGTCTCTCCCCTTGCTCGCTGCTCCTTTGGTCGCCCCTCTCGCTACCCTTCTCGTAGGTTAGTCACCCTTCTCGCAGGTTAGATTGATGCATTGTGAGATTTGGGGTTTTGTGGTTTTCAAATTGATTTAGGATTTTTTTTTAAGTTTGATTATTTTGCTAGAAAAAATCAATTGATTTTTTATTTTGATTATTTTAGATATAAAAATTGAAATTGAAAATGTCTGGAACTAGTTTATGGTTGAAAAATAAACAAATTAGGAAAAGTGTTGTTTTCCCATTTGATGATATTGAGTAAAATAATGAATAGATAATTAAAGAGGGAGATAATGTTGAGGTTGAGCAAATTCAAGTGAAAGGTCATGATGAAAATGTTGACTTAGTTGAACCAAGTTCATATGATCCAACTTTAGATGCACTTGAGTTTGATAATATCGTTTTTATCTTAATGTTGATGCACACTTCTCATCGGATGATGAAGAACTTGATGGTGATAATGAAGATCATGAGGAAGATGATTTCATTAGATGATTAGATGAAGAGGTATAAACATGATAACATTTGTGTTTTATAATTATTCTATTGATATTTTATCACTTTAAGAACTTATGTTTGATCGTGACATTATTGTATGAACTTATTTATTTCAGTAATATAAAATTGATATTATTATATTTATTATTAAATTAACATTCTTCGTATGAATTCAACTCTTACAAATATACGATACATAAATTCTTAAATTTAATCATTAAATCGATCATACTAAAAGTCTATTGAAAAAATAAAAATATAAAAGAAATAATATTGTCAAATAAAAATTTAATTAATTTAATTAAAATCATATTTATTTTATTTGTTATAAAATAAATTAAATCATTTCAAATTTCTTCTCTCATTTTTATATCAGTGTAGTAAGTACTAATTGTATTATTTTATCTCTTTGAAAAAGTATTATCATTTTTTTTTATTTTAAAAAAATATTATTATTTTTTTAGATTTAAAAAGATATTGTTATTTTTTACATTGGTAAAATTTTGTTATTATCTATTCTTAATTTTTTTTATTTTTTCATTTCTAATATAAGATATCTTCAAAGCATGTCTACTGAGCTCACGTGTTAGCATACCCCTTCCCTTCTTCCGGTCACGCGATCCCCCTCTTGGACTTCGCCAAGGCTCTTGTCTCTCGTGACGTCCAAGTCACCGTTCTCGTCACCCCAAGAAACCTACCCTTGGTCCTGACCAACTTTTCTCCTCTTCTACAAACCCATCTCCTTCCCTCACCAGAGTTTTCAAACCCCAACCTCAACATGCATGTCACCATGATCACCTTCATGCACCACCACCACCACTCGTTAATCGTGGACTGGGCCCAGGCCCAGGCCCAACCCACTCCCTCTTCTGCCGTCATCTCCGATTTTCTCCTCGGCTGGACTCATCTCCTCGCACGTGATCTCTGTTGGGATAAAGATATTTGATTAGCTAAATTATAAGTTTGTATAGCGGTACAAAATATTATATAATCAGACATTCCTATATTTAGTCATGATTTGTTAGAGTAAAATATTATAAGATCATAGTATATGTGTACAAAAATAATATGAATAAAATATAGAATGAATTCTATGTATTTCAATTTTGTATCAGAACTTATAATTTTTTTCTTTTTCTTTCAAAATCCTTGGAGATCTTAACTGGAGAGATGATAGAAAAACTAATTCCAATGGTTGTTCAATCTGAAGGTGTCTTCAACGCAGACATCATCCTAAATGAATCCAATTATGACGTATGGTCACAACTAATGGAGATGCACATTGCAGAGAGGGAAAAATTGTCCTATATCCGTGGGAAAGTGAAGCCTCCAACAGAGAACGATGAGGGATATGAAAAATGGTATGCTGAAAACCAAAAAGTGAAAAGATGACTATTGATGTCCATGAAGCCAGAAATTATGAAAATGTATATTTGCTTACCCACTGCCCTCGATATTTGGAATGCTTTGTCAAAGGCATTTTATGATGGAAGTGATGAGCTACAGGTGTTTGCCCTGAATCAAAGGGCATTCACTGCAAAACAAAATAATAGAACCTTAATTGAATATTATGGAGAGTTGGTTGAGATTTTTAGGGAATTGGACCATCGTGACAAAGTCGTGAAGGACCCTGATGATGTGAAGTCATATCAGAAGTCCATTGAAAGATTAAGGGTGCATATATTCCTTGCTGGACTAGATGGTGATTTTGAGCAAGTTCGTGGAGAAATCTTGCGCAAAGAGGTGGCACCTGATTTAGAAGAATGTTATGCATTGATCTGGAGAGAGACAGTCTGACGAACAATGTTGAAAACAAAAGATATGATTTCTAATTCCACATCTATGATGACAAAGAAGCATCGAGCAAATCACCACAGCAAATCAAAAGATTTTGAAAAAGGTAACTACAAATGTACTCAGTGTAATAAGGATGGACACACCAAGGAACGGTGTTATGAAATCATAGGATACCCCGAGTGGTGGGATCACAGTCGAGCATCGAAGAAGAATTCAAAAAGAAATTCAACTGCTGCTGCTGTAACTGCCATTGACAAAGAGGACGACAAAGGCATGATGCTTGCTACAATCGCAGGTAGTGATGATTCTAATGGTAAGGCTTTAATAAGCACATCTACCGTTCTGAATAATGCATGGATAATTGACTCTCCATGTTCTGATCATGTGACTTTTGATGTTAGACAAATTAAAAATTTTAAACCTTCCTCACAAAAAAGTATATCCACAGCCAATGGTAGTAAATCCACTATTATTGGAGAAGGAACTGTCTCTATTTCAAACAATTTGAATCTTGATACTGTCCTTGTTGTTCATTCTCTTAAATATAACCTATTGTCAATCTCGCAAATAGCCAAAGATCTTTTATGTGTTGTAATTTTTGGACCTGACTCTTGTGTTTTTAAGGATATTCAAACGAGGAAGACGATTGGTTGTGGTATTAGACGAGGAAGGTTGTATTACCTGGACCTGACAGAAGAAGATTCAAAGAGACTTGGTCAAATGCTGACAACAAAAGGGTCTCAAGAAGTAAGAAAAGGCAAGAATATCTGGTTATGACATAAGCGTCTAGGACATGCATCTTTTGGTTACATAAAGAAATTATTTCCAAATGTATTTGACCAAGTAGACACTTCAACTTTTTATTGTGATGTTTGTGAGCTTGCAAAGAGTCATAGAACACATTTTCCTTTAATTTTAAATAAAAGTTATCTTCCTTTTATGATCATTCACTCTGATGTATGGGTCCATCTAAGGTTACAACGTTAGGTGGCTCAACGTGATTTGTAACGTTTATTGATGATTGTACTCGAATGACTTGGTTATGTTTGATGAAGTCTAAAAGTAAAGTTGGAGGACTATTTCAGAAATTCTGCAAAATGATTGAGACCCAGTACAAAGCACAAATTCAGGTACTGCGCAGTGACAACGAAGGAGAATATATGCAATCAGAACTTCAACATTTTTTAGTAGCCAAAGGAATTGTTCATCAAAGATCTTGTACAAATACTCCACAACAGAATGAGGTGGCAGAACGAAAGAACCGTCATCTATTGGAGGTGGTCCGAGCTGCACTAATTAGAGCTCACATGCCAGCAATATATTGGGGAGAAGCTCTCACATATGCAGTATACACTATCAACCGAACACCGTCCAGGTCTCTTGAGTATAAAACACCTTTTCAATCACTTACAGATGCAATAGTAAGTCCTAAAATTGCTGAACTAACACATAGAGTTTTTGGTTGTGTTGCTTATGTTCACTTACACAAGCATCAGAGAAATAAGTTGTCTCCTAGAGCTGAAAGGTGTTTGTTCCTTGGCTATGCGGATCACCAGAAAGGATATCGGTGCTACAATCCACAAACCAAGCAAATGTTTACTACTATAGATGTAGTTTTTCATAAAACCTTAATATATTTTTTCCCCGAGTCTGAAATTCAGGGGGAGAATTATGATGAAGTTCAGACTTTTGTTCCTCAAGAAATTGATATTGAGATCATATTGGAGAAAGTTACAAAGTTGTATCAAGAAATGATGAAAGTATGCAATAATGTTTTGATCAACAACCACATAATGAGGAAGATTTTGAGCATGTTGAGATCGAAAATTTTCCTGTTGATGCTAATGATATACCACACCAATCTCCCCTCAAGAACCTAATATAGAAAAAAAAAAATTCTACCAGATCGTATCACTAGAGGTATCCCTAAGCCTACTTATGATCCTGATCTCACCAGTAAGACAAGATACCCTATGAGTAATTATGTTTGTAACCAGAATTTGTCTAACTCAAAATATCACATTTATAAGTCAATTGTCTACTGTATCTATTCCTAACAGTGTGCAGGAAGCTTTAGCTGACTCCAGGTGGAAGGATGCTATGAATGAGGAGATGAGATCCTTGCAAAGAAATAAAACATGAGAATTAGTAGATTGTCCAGTTGGAAAGAAACCAGTAGGATGCCGATGGGTGTATACTGTAAAATTTAATGCAGATGACACAATTGAGAGATTCAAAGCTAGATTAGTGGCAAATGAGTACACATAAACATATGGAATAGATTACACTGAAATGTTTGCTCCCGTAGCCAAAATTAGTACAGTTCGAGTATTGTTATCTCTAGTTGTAAACCTTGATTGGTCCTTACAACAATTTGACGTAAAAAATGTCTTCTTACATAGGGAATTGTCTGAAAAAGTTTATATGGAGCTACCAGAAGGATGTGGGATCCCGAATACACATAGCAAGAAGGTATGCAAGTTGAAGAAGTCATTGTATGGACTAAAACAATCGTCTCGAGCATGGTTTGGTAGATTTACCAAGTCAATGCTTGATTTTGGATACCAACAGAGCAACCAAGATCATACCTTATTTCTAAAGAAAAAAGAAAAAAAGATTACAATTCTTATTGTCTATGTTGATGACATGATAGTTACGGGAAACGATCTAGAGGAACGCAAGACATTGAAAGAGTACTTGACAAAGGAATTCGAGATGAAAGATCTTGGTCCTTTGAAATATTTTCTTGGAATTGAGGTCTCAAGATCAAAGTTAGATATTTTTCTCTCACAATGAAAGTATGCATTGGATTTACTAAAAGAAACTGGAATGACAGCATGCAAACCAACAAATTCTCCAATTGAAGAGGGATTGGAGTTGTGCATTGAAAAAGATCAAACTCCAACTAACAAGGGAAAATATCAGAGACTTGTAGGGAGATTGATGTATCTCTCACACACTAGGCCAGATTTAACTTATGCTCTTAGTGTGGTTAGCCAGTTCATGCACAATCCAAGTGAAAAACACATGGATGCTGTTATACGGATTTTAAGGTATATAAAAGTTGTTCCTGAAAAAGGAGTTATGTTCAAGAAGAACTCCAACTACAAGGATGCGATGGTTTATACTGATGCAGATTGGGCAGGTGCTCTTGATGATAGAAGATCAACATCTGGATACTTTACATTTGTAGGAGGTAATCTTGTTACATGAAAAAGCAAGAAGCAGAAAGTTATAGCTAGATCTAGTGCAGAAGCTGAGCTTAGAGGAATGGTTCTTGGACTTTGTGAAAGTTTGTGGCTCAGACTACTTCTCCAGGATTTAGGGTATGCACATACACATCTCATTCAATTGTATTGTGATAATAAAGCTGCGTGCGACATTGCTCATAACCCTGTCTAACATGATCGGATGAAGCATGTGGAGGTTGATAGATTTTTCATCAAGGAAAAACTTGATAAAAATATTTTGGAATTGTCAAATATTCAATCTGAAGATTAGTTGACAAACATTCTTACTAAAGTTATGACAAGTCAGATTTTTAAGAGATTATTGGACAAGTTGGGAATGTTTGACATCCATTACCAATTTGAGGGGAATTGTTGGAATAAAAATATTTGATTAGTTAAATTATAGATTTGTATAATGGTACAAAATATTGTATAATCAGAATTTTTTATATTTAGGACTGATTTATTAAAATAGAATATTATAAGATGATATAATATATATATATATATATACAAAAATAATAGGAATAAAATATAGAATAAATTCTATATTTTTTTAATTATCTAGGTGTTCCGCGCCTCGTTTTCTCCCCTTCGGCGCCGCCGTGCTCTCCCTCCACCAATCCCTTTGGCGCGACGTCCTGCGAAACGACAACCCACAAGACTCAAACTCCGTCGCTTTGTTCCCCAACCTTCTCAACTCCCCGGTTTACCCCTGGTGGCAGATCTCGCACCTGTTCACTGGGTCCCAAAGAGGAGGACCTGAATGGGAGTTTTTCCGAGAAAACACGCTCTTTAACATCGACTCCTGTGGCGTCGTTATCAACACTTTCACCGAGTTGGAACAAGTTCACATAGACCATGTGAAGAAAGAACTCGGACATAAAAGAGTCTGGGTCGTGGGCCCGGTTTTACGGATTCATAACAGTTCGACCGAACCAGAAGAGCATGGCGGGATCAGCGCCGTTTCGCGACATGACATCGTTGACTGGCTGGACTCGCGCGAGGAATGTTCGGTTGTTTACGTGTGTTTTGGGAGCCGTACGTTTTTGTCGGGTTCGCAAATGAAAGTGTTGACGTGTGCTTTGGAACTCAGTGGGGTGACCTTTGTTTTGTCAGTTGGGGTTCCAGACGCCCGACACATGGCGCCGGATCAGGGTAAGGTGCCGTCTGGGTTTATGGATGAGATGGGGTGCGAGGGAGGGGCTTTTTGATACAGGGGTGGGCCCCGCAGTTGGTCATACCGAGTCACCGCGCGGTGGGGGCGTTTTTGACTCACTGTGGATGGAACTCGGTATTGGAAGGGTTGGTGTTTCAGGTGATTTTGATCGATTTTGACTCTTAAGATATTTTGATCCTAATCAAAATTCTACCACGTAAGTTCTTTTTTACTTAGGCTAGCAAATTAATTTTCAATCGAGATGCGTATGAGGATCGAATTTTACCCGATTTTAAAGATACTATTTTTGGTGTTTTATATTTAAAGTGCTCGAAGTAAAGAAAGCAGAAAATTAATGGAATCGAAAAGCAGTACTGAACATTAAATTGCAAAGAAACGTAACATGCGGAGACCTTAAATTCGCTTTAAGTATAAAAGACAGGGAATCGAAACAGCAGAAATGTAAATGACAAGGAAACTTAAACGCGGAAACTTAACTTTGCTTGAATTGAAATAACTAAAAATCGAAAGTACAAAAACATAAAATTGTTGAATATAAATTGCATCAAAGTAAATTACCAAGGAAAATAAAGAAAGCGGTAAAGGTACTTAATGAGCATGGAAACCCAGATCGCCAAAAACTTCATGATGTTCGTCGTTCTCCGATAGACTTCTCACTAGTATTCTGTTCTCCTGCCAATTTTTCCACACCTTTCCTTTCCTCCTTTGCTCTATTTATAGTGTCTTTTCAAGTAGTCTCTTAAGAGCAGTTAACGAAGATTACTACCACGTTCTCTGTGCACGTCTTTTGCAGTTTTATTCCTAGCTCTGCGGTTTAGAAGTTGTATCCACGTTCCCATGAATGAGGTAACCGCTCCCTTGACCTTCGACTTTTGCTACCGCTTACTATGTTCGATGTATACGTCGACCATTCTTCTTAGCCAAAATTTCGATATTCACGTATATTAGCCTTTCCTTCGATTTAGATTTTGCAACTTCGAGAATTCTGGATTTGCTTTTAATTCTCGATATCCTTAACGTTACCAGATTTTGTTTTCTTGATTTTCTTCACCAACGGACGTTTAAGCGTTATTCCCTCGATTTTCGATTCCAATTCTCGATATGTTTTTGTTTCCCTTCACTTTCTCGATCCTTTTATAGATTTCTCACTAACAAAATGCCCCCTTGGAAGAATATGAATAGTCTCCGTTTATATTCTTTCAACACGATTCCCGCTTTCGCTCGTTGGAGGCCCACAACAATTTAGGGTTTAGGGTTTCTGGGGTTTTAGGGTTTATGGGTTTTTAGGGTTTCTTTTTGCTTTATGTCACCGTCTCGTCAGTCTGCTGCCTTGCAGTACAAACCACATGTAGATCCCTAATTTTGCCCGGCCTCTCAAAATAAAAGCTAGAGGAACTTCACCCGAAGATGGAGTTCATCCGGTTTCCCAAAACGAGAAGGACCTCCCACAACAAAAGACGGAGTTCATTCAATAAAAGCCAAAAGAGACTTCCTACACAAAGACAAAGCTCGCCCGACATCTTAATGAAGGCCAAGAAGACTTCCTATATGAAGATAAAGCTTCAACGGACACACATCAGCATCAATCTACGTCCAAAAACGGCAAGGAAAGCTTCCTGGGGTCCCGAAACGCGAAGACTGGACAAAACAGGCCGGGACCACGGTCCCAAAAGTGGGACGGCCGTCCCAACTGCAATTAAGCAGTTGGGACGCGCGTCCCGAACGTGGGACGGTCGTCCCGGCTTCCCTGGGGGTCCCGTTCTGTGTAAATTTGCCATTTGGGACGGCCGTCCCAGTCCAGACGGCCGTCCCAACCCAGACGGCCGTCCCAAAGTGCGCCAGCTGCGAAAAAACTATAAATAGGAGGCTCATTTGCCACTTTTTCACACCACAGACACTCCAGAGAGCTCTGAAACACTTTAGAGCACTTGTCTATTTCTCTCCCTCTCTCGAATGATCTTTTCGATTGCCTTAAAGAGGTAACAATCGGTTAAGGAATTATATTCCGGCATTCGATTCTTCTTTAAATTTTTAGTGGAGTCGATCTTGTATTGGTGAGGAGAGACCGTGTAGAGAGAGGGGTTGCCAAAACGCATCCTCACAGTTCGAGATTCTCAATATAAAGCTTGCTACGGAGGTTCTTTTCAATTCCCTTCTCTTTTATTGTTTTATTTATTGTTTTATTTAGCTTTATTATGTCATGTAGGATAGAATCATGTAGATAGTCATTTTAATATCTCTTTTATTGCTTTATTTAGCTTTATTTATATAAAATTATGTAGATAGTCATTTCAATATTGTGCAATAAAATAGGGTAATCGCGTAATTTCTCGAAATCTTCTCTTTAATTGAATTGATCTGTCATAGGGAACCCGAAAGGGGCGTTGTGGGGTGCTAACACCTTCCCCACACGTAACTAACTCCCTTACCCAACTCTGGTTATAACGACCAAGTTGTTTATTTTATAAAATCAACGCCTTTCTTTCTTTTTTTCCTTTTCCAATGTTTCTGGTCAAAATATTGGTGGCGACTCCATAAGAACCCCTTTTCGAAAATCTATACATTTTAAAACAAAAACGCGAGTCTAAACCATCTTTTCGCGACCGCTCGCACAAACGTTTCGAGACGTCCTCCGGACGTCGGAAAGGGACGGCGGCGACAGATGGCGACTCCACTGGGGAAGCTAGAGAGTTGATCCCATTTAGTGACAGATAAATTCAAACTAAGTAAAGATTTGAAATTACGCCTTTACCCTTCGTATGTTTTTATTGTATGGCTTTATATAACTGCTGTAGGATTATTTCGCAATTGTTTGAAATATAAATTGCACACAAAAACCCTTGCACACAACGAGTCCCTCTATACCGGGGCAAGAGTAAATATCTATAGGGAGTGGGTGGCGGATACGATCGGTTAGTTGGCACACGGGGCTACTACCGTTGTCGGAAAACCACCAACTCAAGGTGATAACTCTCTTCTTTTGGTCTAAGGGTGTCGCCACGGAGTTCCGTGCATGACCCGAGGATTGAGAGATTGAGAGGTCCCTATAATGGGGGCACCTTGGGGACCTTTGGCCTGGTGAGAACAGTTAGAACCACCTAAACCAAACACGTTTCTGCAGGAAAACCCTACCTCGTGATTAAATAAGCGTGGCTCTGCTCGTGGATGTATGAATTGTGTGTGCATACGTTTGCTGCATTTGTATTGATGCATTAGCATAGGGTAATCATACAACAGACAAAAAATGAAAAAACCTAAAAATCATAAAAAAATGTAAAAACATTAAGGTCATAAAAATACCTTTTCAAAAAGATTCTTGGCAAAGTCGTATCATTCATACCGCATCATTCAATAAGTGGTAAAACTAAGAGAGAAAACCAATACATTAAGAAAAGTATGCATAAACATCATCATAAATAAAATCTCTCATACATAAACACATTCATCCTAGGGCATATTTATTCCACGCTAATCATTTAAAATAAAAAGTTATAATAAGAATCATTAAAATCATTTAGAAGGTGGCTGGTCTTCCGCCCGTCCTCACTCGTGCTCAAAAGGCCAAGAAGATGGAGAAATTAGAGGAGCAGAACCGTATGCTCACCGCTGAGCTTAATGTCATAAAGGAACAAATAGCGCAATTAACGGAGCTAATGTATCAGCAATGCTTCCACAATACGGTCTATGAGCAACGAATTTTTGCATTAGAGGAAAGATTAAAGGCATTAGAGGGACATAACTTTGATGTAAAGGAGGTAACCGATGTACACCTTGTCAAAAATACTCAATCCCCTCCCAAGTTTAAGAAATCCCACGCAACATTCAAGAAGCCCTTTGGCAAGAAAAAGGAGGGAAGTGTAGATGCCATGAACGTTGCCACTCCTTCTTCTTCCTCGCAGCAGACCAAGTCACGCAGACAAAAGAGAAAATTCACTCCAATCCCAACCTCTTATGGAAGTCTGTTTTCAAAATTATTGGACGTCAAGCTCCTCGTGCGTGTCCCTCCTAAGAAGATGGAGCCACCATACCCGGAATGGTATAAATCTAATGAAAGTTGTGATTATCATTCAGGCTCTCCGGGACACTCCGTTGAAAACTGTGTGGCCTTAAAGCACAAGGTCATGAATCTAATAGATGCAGGGTGGATTACCTTTGATGCGTCTACTTCAAAAACGGATGACCAGCCTCTTTCAAAGCTCGAGTAAGAGACGGGATAAGGAAGACCAGCAATTTAGGGCTCATCATTTTTACCATCTCTAAAAATGTAATAAAAAATATATAAAAAAAAATATATCAAAAAGCTTCCGATGTATCTCTCGTGATCCCCGCTCATGATCACGAGATTTTTTATTAAAATGGGCTTTGTAAATATTTTCTTCTATCAATACAACGAGGCATTATTCATAATATTCATATTCTTTGTTATTCTTTTCTCTCTCATTCCAAAATAATTGAATAAAATCTAAACCCAAATATAGACCATATAAACAGTCATGTCTGTGATTGAAAACTCTCTGCGGGATCTGAAAGCCGAAGGCGAATGTATTAAGTCAGACAGTGAGGAGGGGACCATTTCCCCGGACATGCAAAGAAGCTTAATTGATATAGCCCCATCAGGAAAAGACTAAGGCCATCAATTTGGGACAAGGAGATAATAAAAAAGAAGTAAATGTCGATACCCAAATTGATAATGTCAGGGAAGGAAAAACAACACCTTTGCGCTCATACATTGGATAAAACTGTGCTGTGGATATGCACAGAAGAATTGTCCGTCAATGAAGATATCTCCAATATAGCCAACATTGGGGGCAGGATGATAAGAAAAAATTTTCATCCAAGGAGCTACAAGATAATGCTCCTAAAAACAAAGAGAAAATAAAGAAACCGAAGAGGAAAAGAAAAATAATCCGAGGGGAAGATTGAGCAGACTTTGGATTCACAGTGCTAGGACACTTTCTTCAACGCTCCAGCGAAAAATCAAATGCGTGGTAGGTGACAAATTGATCATGGTTCAAGTTAAAGACTAGATTCGAA